ATATAATTTTTTGCCAAGGAAAAAAATAAAAATAAATAATGAACAATAAATAAAATAAAATGAAAATGCGTTGCAACTACCATAATGATGTTTTGAAATTTTGCATAAACCTAACTTATTTGCAAGCATATTCAAGAGTCAATAAAAAAATTTAGCAGGGTTAACAAATCCCATTGGAACCAGAACAATACGAAGTAAGAAAATTACGCATTGATGATTGAAAACATCGCTCATTTGCTTGGATGCAAAAGGAATGAATCATGTGCCTGAAAGAAGCGAATTTGAAAAAGCCAGCCTAGCGGTAGTGAATATTTCTAAACTGAGTTACAATTCAAAGCTCAAACCAAAGATTGTTAAGAAGCTTTATTAAGAAAAATGTAACAACACTGGTTAAACAGTTCAATTTTTCAGATTGTTTACAAATAGGTAATCTGCAGTTAGTTGACTATGAGAGAATGGAAGGCGATTTTGACACTACCAACATTATTATCGGTTTCATGCCAGCATTTCTACACAAAACAGGTTGGCAATAAAGTGCAATAGGCAAGAAAACTCATTAAAAATGATCAATTTATTATCATCAACATTCAATAGTCAAGAAAAGTAAACACAGCAGTTATTTATACCCTTTTTTAGTTCATGAGAATTCCTGGAAATGGAAACTACTAGACACGAGATTTTTCACAGGTATCTTGAAAGTCAATTTTCAGTAATATAACCTAACTTTTTCATAAGTCATTTAGTTTTAAGCTCATGCAAACGAGGAATTCTCCAAATTCAACATGAACAGGAAAAAATATGTTAGCATGCTCCATCTGGCTATTTGGCTTACAAGTGTTTTAGAGCTGATTATTAACATAGGAGAATTAAATGATACTTTGTATCGTTGCTACAATGGCTGCACGGGATAAATCAATACCAACAATAAAGCAGGTATTTGCCAGCAACCTTCAAGAATAGACAGTGATCCTTGTCTGTCCATAGATTCATAACCTAGGACTATCATATGGTAGTACCAATTGAGAGGCTTGACATCACATCAAGTTCACAGATGATTAAAGATTATGAGCAAAGTTTTAGAACCCAGCTTTTCACATCCAGAAGACACACACCAGACTTTTACAACTCCTTCAACAAAATGATGTTGGTACGATCAGTCTTGAGGGTGTTTCTACTGTATGAAAATGGGAAGTCTTGAAGATTGATCTTTTTAAGTTTCTCCATGGATCCTTACTCTGCATAAAATAGCCGAGCTGTAGTGACGTACCTAAAAACTGTTAATGAAAGACATATGCCCAACTTGATTTTGCAAATTTTATTTGGTTTAGGAAAGTATAGGTTTTTTGCTATTCTAAGAATGTACCTTGCTCTGACCTATCTCAAACCTAGCTATGAGTCTGCACTCGTCCATCTCTATAGCAAAAAAGGGCTAAGATGATTATGGCAATTACAGGTAGGTGACAGTATCCCATGCATTTCGGGACGTAACAAAAGATGGGCACCAAAATGGGTGTATCATGTTATTGGAAGCATAAAACTTCGAGATACAAGCAGACTGTCTCATATGATAGTTCATGGAAATAATTCTATATAGCATCCAGTTCAAGTGGAAATAATCATTTTATATAAACCTTTCAAAGACAGGCTAAAGTAATGTGCTCCAACATGTTTAAAGTAAAATTGAAAACAAATAAAATACATATACATACTAATTTTCGCACTACATTTAGAAAACATAAATATTTCAACCTTTAAAATAAAAACATAACATATACATTTTTCAACCTTCAGAATGAAACTGCTGCAGAATACTCAAATCATGATTTTAACTAAAACCCATCATCAACATATTCATTTTTCCATGATCTTCAGAAAATATGACATGTTCTTACATACAAGTACAACATGAAAAAAAGGTCATATTTATGAATATTCTACATAATAAAATCAGGAAATAATATATTTTAAAAATAACCCTTTACTGACATTTTCATATACTGGATTGCATTCTAAATTACCTGTTTCACTAGTAATCTCACATTTGAAAATTAAGGAAATAATTTAGCGCCCATTGCAGCATGATAGGCCCTTAGACCTTCCACAACTAACAAAATACTTTAAATTAATTTCTCAAAAGAAAATAGGAAGAGATGGAAACTACTTATCCACATCAGACAAATCCAAACCAAGACTCATAAGCAAGCTATTGACGAACCAATTACTATGTCATCCAAACAAATACTAGTAGATAGGAGAACGATTCTGAAATTTTAGTTTCAAAAGTATTGGACAGTGGATGAAAGTGACAAATTCATTTGACTTTTATGTTTAGGAGCATCAATTTCAATAGTCACAAATCCTTCTTTTCTTTGGAGTGGAACATACAGTGACAAAACCCAGAATATAGAAAGCATCCTAAATAGTTGGTGTATAGAAATGCAAAGCTTAAATTTGTGATTATTATGTGACGAGATTGCAAAACTTGAGATAACAACAAATTCTAGCAAGAATTAGCAGATTTGGTCCTTAACAAATGTTATTAACAAGAATACATCTACAGAAAACTATTTAAAAGATAGGAAGATAACAAAAAAAATTATGATGTGCACTATAAATCAACAAACTTAAGGGCAAAATCATTAGCATGCTGCATGTAGATGAGAGATCCACACATAGCCTATTTCCTTCTTTCATCAAACAAGGCAAAGCACATCACGCCCATTAAGGGAATCCAAATTTCATGTCATTTCACGTGTATAATCACATGACTCAAAGTTGTACCAAAGTTTTTCAACGCAAACAGAGATCAGACAAAAGAAAACTCTGCAACATATCTAAGTGTATAGATTAATCATGTTGATTTTACAAAGCCATTCAGCCCAGAACATCCTAGTGAGCTAGTAAGACGCCCCAATTCAAATTCAGCAGATAACACAATTCAACATTATTCTAAACCCACCCAGGAAGATTAGAAGGCATTTTAAGCAGAGCAACGCCATTAGCAACAGTTCCATCCATTATGGACCTAACTCTAAACTATTATAATATTCAACTATAAAAACGATAGAAACAAACAACCATTGCACAATAAAAGCCCAAAAAAAAAAGCAAACCTGCACAGTGATAGGAGCACCTCCATAAGCCACAACCACCTTAACCCCAGTCTGATACGAGAACTTCTTTGCCTCCTCATGAATCTAAAAAATTCCCAAAACAAACCCAATTCAGCACGATCCAAAACTTTAAACACAAGCAAAACCAACGCAACACGAACCTGTGAAGACAACTCCCTTGTTGGCGACAATATAAGCGCCAACGGAAACGCCGTGTGAGGCCCTCGATACCCCCGTTGCTGCGACACCCCTTCCTTCATTATCCCAGAGATAATCGGAAAACAAAACGCCGCCGTCTTCCCTGAGCCCGTCTGTGCACAGGCCATCAGATCCCTCCCGGCCATGGATATTGGAATCGCATGCCTCTGCACCGGCGTCGGTTTCACATACTTGCACATTGCAATGTTTCGATTCAGCGCCTCGCCAAGATCGATCTCAGCAAAGCTACTCGCCGGTGGCGGCACATCCTGCCCACTTGTCTCCACCGGAATGTCATCATAAGCATCAAAATTGATCCCCCCGTCGCCGCTGATCCCCCCCTCAGCGATCCCCAACTCGTTAAACTTATCAGCAACATCAAAATGGTTAGGGTTTGGGTCACGGAACCGAGCCCCCCGGTCCCGCTCCGATCGGAAACGGACCGGCCGAGAAAAGCCAGGGTTAGGGTTTCGGTTCGAGGGGAGAGCTGGAACCGATGGGTTAAACTCAGGAGCGGAGGCGTTCAGAGGCTTCGATGATCGGAGATGCGACGGCATCAGCCCACGACATTGTGCGGACAAAACCCCTAAACCCTAGATCGACAAAAGAGATGAAGAACGAAGCCTAAAATGAGGAAAAAGGGCTCACATTTTAGAGAGATGAGCAGCAAACCCTAGGGTTTCTAGTTTCGATAAAACCCTAGAAAAAAGTCCTGCGATTTTTTGCCAAAAGAAGAAAGGAATCAAAGGGACTCGGTTGAAGCTCGAGGAAAATAGGGGGATTATGATTTTATATTTCCAACGATAGTGGGGTGGTTTCCTCGGGAATATGAAAGGACATGAAGGGTATTTTTGGAATTGCTCGCTTTCGTTTCCCGCGCTTGAGATTGCTATGGGTGATTCAATGTAATCTGAAGGCTATCCGGGGCCGTTGATTTTCTGGGGAATCTTTAAATTGACGGTCGAGATATTCAGGTTGGGGGCAGATATTTGGCATTCAATTTTAAGGACAATTATACGAAAATCCATCTTTAAAATAGGACAACTATATGAAAATCATCTTTTATTTTTATTTTATACATAAACCTGCTTTAAAGTTAATTTTTGTTGCAATCAACCACCTCCCAGTAAAATTCTTTACTTAAAACCTAAAATTACCCTTAAAAACTCACATTCAATGTACATGACTCTTTTTGTTTAGTATTTAAGTCTTGTTAGGATATAACTCACGTACCTTGAACTTGAAATTTTATGGTTATATTTTATTTTTTTAATGAAAAATTGACTAAGAAGTAGTTGATTGCAACAAAAATTAACTTTAAAGATGGTTTTTATATAAATTAAAAATACAATATGGTTTCTGTATAATCACCATATTGCCAATGTCGTATCTAGGAAAAATCCAACAAATTATTGTAGAAGTAATTTAAAAAAACCTTCATACTTAAATGAGGTTTTATCAAACGTAACTTTCTGTACAAAAAATGATGAAGATATAGTAAAAGTGGAAAAGTGGTCAAACAACTCTTAAATAAATAGATAAAATACTATTGTTATGTTAATGTCACTATTTTAATTTCAAGATTTATTTATTTTTACAAATAAATACTATATTTTGCCTGTAATTTGTTATATTTTTGTAATTAAAATTTAATATGTTTTTCTCTCTCTATTCACCTTAAGTTGGCCAGAACAACCCCTAAGTGGAACACATGAATGATTGAAACATGAACTATTTTTTCTAGTGAATTGCTATCATCATTCATGTAATTAGAGAGCGTAACTTGTTCCAATTTTCTAATAGGAACATCATAGTTGTGCAACATTCCTCATTTTAAAAATACTAATACATTTGAATTAAATGTGATGAAAGTTTTTTCCACATATCTTGCTTCAAGGATGAAAAGCTTTGAACATGACAATTCATGTAAAAAAATTACTAGTACAAGAGTCCTCTACTCCAAACACCAGTTATCTAGCGAACTTGTTCAATGTGATCTTTCACCTTCTCCTAATGCTCCACATGTGATTTCATGTAAAACTGATGAAAGTTACAGTCAACTCAGCAGTTTCAGTATCAAAGGAACAAATAAACACATCAAATACGTTTATTAAAGTGGCGATTCCATATAATATTGATGAAAGTTGCAGTCCAATATTTCATAATTATAGTAACAATAAATCACATCAAATGTGTGTATAAAAATGGTGACTTCATGTAAAATTGATGAAAGTGGCAGTTATGTCAGCAGTTTCATAAAGACAGTTACGTATGAACATACACACAAATCAATTTTTTTTTGAAAAAAAAACATATTTATAAGGATTTGTCACTAACACATATTGTCTTACTAGGTGGAATGCACGTACTGTTGCGCGCAGCGGAAATTTCGGCAGCACTTCGGCAGCACAACAAGAGAGTCAGGTCGCAATAAGAATTCTTGTTTCTCAAAGGGAACAAGAATCTGAAGCCTAATATCTCATCAAAGTGAGATATTAGCTCTTCCTCTCGTCAGCTCTAGGACTGCGTGTCGAGGGAACCTAAAAGCTATTACAAATCACACAAATAACAGTACAACCAATTTTTACGTGGTTCGGCAAATTGCCTACGTCCACGGGGCAAGGAAGGGGGAGATCTACTAATAGAGGGAGAGAATATAACTAGGGTTTACAATCACTCTCAATCTAAACCCTCAAACAAACTCTCAAATCCCTCACAAATATCTCTCACAAAAGGATGCACAAACCCTAACAAAAAAAAGGCTACACAAAATCAAATTCCCTTTGCTCAAACCTCCTGTGCGTGCACACTGTAGCCGCCAACTAGTCCTCCTGCGCTCTGCCTCCTTCGCACAAAATCAAAGAAAAAAACCTAGGACCCTTTTATGACAGAGTTAATTTTCGGGTGGGCCTTCATGCATGCGGAAACAAAACCGCTAGCAAGCCTTCATGCATGCAGAAACAAAACCGCTAGCAATCAAATCAACCCTCCTGAACGTAGTTCATCCAAATGGCCGCCAACAGCCTCAACAATTACGAATGTGCAACAAGTTTCGACAATGGTCAAACTTGTTGCTCGGAACCACCTTAGTGAGCATATCTGCCGGATTATCCTTCGTGTGGACTTTCACAATTTCCACATTGCCATCTTCAAGAACATCCCGAACGAAGTGATAACGAACGTCAATGTGCTTCGTTCTCGCATGAAAAACCTGATTCTTCGCCAAATAGATAGCACTCATGCTATCACAATGAATAGTGACGGACCTTTGCGATATACCAAGTTCCTCTAAAAGTCCTCGAAGCCAAATAGCCTCCTTTACAACCTCCGTAACTGCCATATACTCTGCCTCCGTCGTAGACAAAGCCACCGTCGACTGTAAGGTGCATCTCCAACACACCGGCGCACGGGTCAAAGTGAACACATACCCCGTCGTAGACCGGTGTTTATCCAAATCCCCGGCATAATCCGAATCAACATAGCCAATGCATAGCTGCCCACCTGTAGTGTTCCGCTTATAAACTAAACCAACATTGAGCGTACCTCGAATGCACCTCAAAATCCATTTCACAGCGTCCCAATGACCCACTCCTGGATCATGCATGTATCTCGATACCATGCTTACTGTCTGTGACAAATCTGGTCCCGTACATACCATCGCGTACATCAAGCTCCCAACCGCACTCGCATATGGAGTCTTCGACATCAACTCTCTATCTTCAACTGACTTCGGTGAAAGACCAACTGCAAGCTTCAAATGGACTCCCAATGGTACACTAACTGACTTCGTATCCATGCTAACATGGAATCGCTGTAGAACCTTCTTCAAATAAGCCACTTGTGTCAAACAAATTCTGCCTTTCTTCTTGTCTCTGCCGATCTCCATCCCTATAATGCGCTTCGCCTCACCCAAGTCTTTCATCTCAAACTCATTTGATAGCTGAACTTTCAACTCATCTATAGCCGACCTGGAACTAGAGGCAACCAACATGCCATCGACATAAAGTAACAAATAGATGTACGCACCTCCTTTCAACTTGCGAAAATATACGCAAGGATCAAACTGGCTCCGAGTGTACGAATGACCAAGCATAAAACCATCAAATCGCCTATACCACTGTCGAGGAGACTGTTTCAAACCGTATAGCGATTTCTTCAATCTGCAAACCAACTTATCTTTCCCTGCAGCTCGGAATCCCAATGGCTGAGTCATATATATTTCTTCATCAAGATCACCATGAAGAAATGCCGTCTTCACATCCAACTGATCTAACTCCAAACCATACTGTGCCACCAAAGCTAGCAAAATCCGAATCGAAGAATGCTTCACCACCGGAGAGAAAACCTCATTATAGTCAATACCTTCCTCCTGTGCATAGCCCTTCGCAACCAACCTAGCTTTGAACCTCAATGGAGTGCCCTCAATGCCCCTCAACGGAGTGCCTTCAATGCCCTCCTTCTTCGTGTATACCCACTTGCAACCAATTGCCTTCCGCCCCTTTGGAAGCTCAACAAGCTCCCATGTATCGTTCTTATGAAGAGATTCCATCTCTTCCTGCATAGCCACCTGCCATGAATCAGCCTCCGGACTCTGCCCGGCCTCTCTGAATGTAGTAGGCACCAACTCATCGATACTCTCTATCGGAAGTGCATACGTAACTGTGTCGGCATACCGTGCTGGCATCTGTATGTTTCTCCTCTGTCTCCTAGCCGCAATAGAATCCTGAACCTGAGCCGTCGGTTCCTGATCCTGTACATTTGTACTCGTATCCTCCGTGTCACCGTCGTGCTCGCCTGGTGTCACCTCAGTCGGCACTTGCATGGATACTGTACCATCTGGACGATGTGGAGCTGCATCGATCTCCACCACCTGCGATATCTCCTCCGTCGGGTCGCTCTCCACCTGATGAGAGCTGGGAAGCTTCAAGATAGAAGCCTCATCGAATGTGACATCCCTACTCAGCACAATCTTCTTATCCACTGGATCCCAAAGCTTGTATCCCTTGACACCACGCTTGAATCCTACAAATATGGCCTTCCTAGCTCGAGGTTCTAATTTATCTGTTCTAACATGATAATATACAGGGTACCCAAATACCTTGAGCTGGTCATAGTCATGTGCTGGCTTTCCCGACCACATTTCCATAGGGGGTTTCCCCTCAATCGCAGATGAAGGCAGCCTATTAATGAGGTGGCTCGCATATGTAAGTGCCTCAGCCCAAAAGATCTTCTCCAAACCACTCTGCGACAATAAGCATCAGATCTTCTCCAGTAAAGATCGATTCAACCTCTCTGTCACCTCATTTTGCTACGGTGTATGACTAACTGTGAAGTGTCTCTCTATGCCCTCGTCTCGACATAGCTGCTGAAAGGGGTCAGAAGTATACTCACCACCGTTGTCGGATCGCAACGTCTTGATCTTTCTCCCAGTCTGCAGTTCCAATCTCTTCTTCCACTCCATAAATAAATCTAGGACTTCACTCTTCTTCGTCATGGTGTACACCCAACAACGCCTAGAATAGTCATCTACAAAAGTGACGAACCAATGTCGACCACCAAGTGATGCAGTCTTGGTGGGACCCCAAATGTCTGTGTGCACGTAATCCAGGATGCCCCTCGTCTGATGAATGGCAGTCCCGAACTTCACCTTCGTCTTCTTGCCAAGAACACAGTGCTCACAGAACTCAATCTTCCCACTCTTGGCTCCCTTCAATAGCCCCTGCTTGCACAATGCCTGCAGTGACTTTTCACCTGTGTGCCCCAATCTATAGT